GGGGGGGGGTTGGGGACCCCCAGGGGACCACAGGTGACCCCCCCACAGACGGAGCAACCCTGCAAGTCCAAGGTGGCCGTTTGGCACGAGCTTTGGGTGCTCTGTGCCCTTGGGGTGCCCTGGGGGTGCTGTGGGGGCTCCCAGGGTTGCCTAGGGGGTTTGGGGGTGCCCAGGGGTGCCCAGGGGGTTTGGGGCTGACCCCCCCACAGACAGAGCACCCCTACAAGTCCAAGGTGGCCCTGTGGCACGAGCTTTGGGTGCTCTGTGCCCTTGGGGTGCCCTGGGAGATCCTAGGGGGGGTTTGGGAGTGCCCAGGGGGTTTGGGGGTGCCCAGGGGGTCCAAGGGGTGCTCGGATGGTTTGGGGACCCCCAAGGGACCCCAGGTGACCCCGGGTGACCCCCCCACAGACGGAGCACCCCTACAAGTCCAAGAAGGCCGTGTGGCACAAGCTCCTGTCCAAGCAGCGCCGCCGCGCCGTCGTCGCCTGCTTCCGCATGACGCCGCTGTACAACCTGCCCAGGTGGGCACGGGGCACTGGGGGCACTGGGGGGGCACTGGGGGGCACTGGGAGTGGGGGTGGGCACCCTGAGACCCCCTCAGGAGAGCTGGGAATGTCCTTGGAGGCATTTCAGCCCCGCTGGGTGACACCTGGCACTCCCTGGGTGACACCTGGGACCCCCTGGGAGACACCTGGCACCCCCTGGGTGACACCTGGCACTCCCTGGGTGGCACCTGGGACCCCCTGGGACACCAAATCCCACAGAGACCCCAAACCACAGTGGGGACCCCAAACCCTGAGGGGACCCCGAGCCCCGAGGGGACCCCGGACCCCGAGGGGACCCCGAATCACAATGGGGACACCAAATCCCACAGAGACCCCAAACCACAGTGGGGACCCCAAACCCTGAGGGGACCCCGAGCCCCGAGGGGACCCCGGACCCCGAGGGGACCCCGCACCCGAGGAGACCCCAAATTAAAGTGGGGACCCCAGACCCTGAGGGGACCCCAAATCACACTGGGGACCCCAAATCCCTGAGGGGACCCCAAACCCCGCAGGGACTCCAAATCCCGAGGGGACCCCAAATGACACTGGGGACACCAAACCCCGAGGGAACCCCAAATTCCTGAGGGAACCCCAGACTCTGAGGGGACCCCA